TCCTAGGGGCTGTTAGGCAAGCCTGTTAACCAGTCTGTTGCACAAAAGACTATATGTGGCTTTTGGTAACCTTTGAATGATTTAGTCTTGAATGATTCAAGGTTTTGAATAAAAAGCATGTTGTCTCATACTCTACAAAAAGAATAAGTTAACTATATACACACATGTGCATTAGGATGAAAGTGGGTCCAAACCCGGACCGGATGGACTCGGACCCGGAAAACCCGGAACCGGTTAACGAGATTTTGTAGAACCGGAAACCGGACCGGTATATAGGAACCAGTTCCGGTTCGGTTCCGGGTACGGTACCGGGTAAAGTGGGTCTAGAGCCGGAAAACCCGGAAACATCAAAGTGGGTAGGTTAGAACCTGATAAAGTGGGTTTAGAACCGCAAAACCCGGAAAAACCGGAATTTTTTGGTAATTACTTACTATTTAGTGGGTTGAACTTTGAAAATTTTCATATGATATCCCGACTTTGGGGGACAGTAACTCATTGAATATGAAACCAAAATGGACAAAATTATAGTCTAAAATCATGTACAAACTCTAAACTACACTCTGGAAAAAACCGCATGCCAATCCGACTTTAAACGAATGAGATATGCATGTGTTAACATTTTCACATAATACAAAGTACAAAAACAAATAGCTGAAAAGTTGAAAATTTTCAGTTTTGATAGAGGACTGTAAATCATTAAATATTAAACCAAAAATGACAAAATACAACAAAGTTGCCTGGAACATGGAGAACGAGAGTGTATTCTAGCATAATGAGAGTTTATTATAGATGAATGAGAGTGTATTCTAGCATAATGAGAGTGTACTTTAGTAGAATACACTTGTTCTTCATATTCCATGCAACGTTATTGTATTTTAATTGAGTGGGTACAGAAACAAAACACGAACCCATACATGAAAACCTAGATGAAAATTCATTTTGAAAGAATGTTATTGCTGACATTAGTGACAAATTTAAGACAAAACTATAAAATTGGTCCCTGTGGTATTCAAAAAACTTGGATAGGGTCCAAAAAGTTTCTGACTGCATGGAGGTCCAAAATAAGGAATTTTCTTTGATTTTAGTCCTAAAAAACTTGAAATGTCTATTTTGCCCTTTAATTTTTTTTGTATTATTTTACCATTTTCTTAACAATTTAATAATTAAAAATAAAGAATTGCCCCACTCACCCTTTACTCCCACTGTACGCACCATCTCTCTCTCTCTCTCTCTCTCTCTCTCTCTCTCTCTCTCTCTCTCTCTCTCTCCCTCTTCCTCCCTCTCTTGTCTCTCTAATCCGGTCGTCTCCTCCTCCCTTCTATTATTTCTACCTCATCTATGGGTGATTCCCTTCTTTGTTACACCAATAAACCAATTCACACCATTGTAAATCCTATATAAAACTTTGAATAAATATCGTCTCCATCAGATTGGACAAGGAACAGACGATGAAAGGCAGATCGACGGGAGCTGAGGTGCAGATGGGAAATCGCAAGGGATGGGCAAGGGGGTCCATCGAGACTGACGACCTTTGTGGGTTTACTCTTCGTCTTCACTGATCGGGGGAGAGAGAAGAAGGAACAAGAATGGAAGCAGTCAAAATGGTGATCTGGTGGTCAAACAAATCGCGAGAAGGAGTCGATCTCCAACGAACTCCCCTAGGCTCTTCGCTCGTTATCGGCAGCCACAAATCGAGGGGGAAAGGTAACCGACTTGATTGAAGGGAGAAGGAGAGAAGAACGAAAGCAGAACAGGGGTGGTTCGGTGGAGGTTTGGTCCATCGCTAAAATGAAACAAGAAACGAAGGCGGCTTACGCCGCTGGGTGACTGTTACAGCGAGGGGGCTGCTCCGGTGGCCTCCTTGGTTTTTCTCCTTCTATTCCATTGACAAAACACGAGGGATAAGGGGAAAGAAACACCGGAGTAGTAGCAGAGGGAAGCGACGGCCCTTAGGGGGTTTGGTTGTTTTGATCGACAGGAAGGAGGGTGGAGGAGGGTTGTCGATTCTCCTTTTTGCCGCCGATGTTGTAGATACGCGAGTGAGAGAGAGAGAGAGAGAGAGAGAGATAATTTTTTCTTTTCTTTTATTTTTATATTAAAATAGTATTTGAAAATATAAAAAAAAATATAAAAACAAAGTAAAGGGTATAAACCGTCATTTTAAATTTTTTGGACTAAAAACACAAAAAAAACCTTGATTTTGGACCTTCTATGCAAGTGAAAAACTTTTGGACCCTATCCAAAGTTTTTTGAATACCACGGGGACCAATCTTGCAGTTTTGTCCAAATTTAATTAATTTCCATAAAAGGAGAATTATAATTATGGATATCATTAATATACAGGGCCTAGTTCCCGAGTTAACAAAACAAAAGAAAAGAAGAGAAAATAAAGTCAGGAGAGAAAAGAAGAGAAGGAAAGGAAAACAAAATTTTCTTTTGTGTTCCCGAGTTGGAAAGAAGTGGAAAGAAATTAATCATTTTGTTATTCTTTCCAAATCTTCCCCAATCGGAAGAAAGTTAGGAGGAAAGTGATCCTTCCATTTCTTTTATTTTCTTCTCATTGTCACTCATTTCTTTTCTTTTATCTCGTTTAGTTGAACTCAGGAACAGGAAATCATTTACTATCTATATTTATGTAACTAAATAATTATTTATTTTTACTAAATTTTTATTGGTGCATTGTAGCACACAATAAATGTAAGAAACACCATGAACGTAGCCCTATATATATATATATTCTATATATATATATATATCATATTATATATATATTATATATATATATACACACGAAATAATTGTCCAGATAAAATCTTTAAGTCAACTCTATTTTACCAATAAACTATTTTTTACCCGGCAACACTAGGAAAAGTCATATTATTTTGGTACGGTTTATGAAAAAGTCTCAAATGTTTTAACATTAACTCTTTTACTCTTTCACCTAAAATCTCGAAATTTTCTGGTTCAAATTCTGAATAGGATAAACGTCATTAAGCTTCTTAAACTAAAGATCAACGTCTTCTATAACAATTATTTGCCATAAAACAATGATGTTAACATCATTTTGAACTCATCATCGTCCATGTAATACATTTCCCCCATAAATTTATGTTACAAGTATGTACAGATATTGAACTTTATATTGAACACGTGATTACAATCTACCTAAAGTAGTTTAAAGGAATGTGAACTCTTTAAGTTCATATAAGGAATCAGTGACTGATGACAATCAATACAATAGTAGGAATTGTGAGGTTATACGATCTAGAGAAGAGTGTGAGTTTTATCCTTAAATCTCAATCATATATGAAAAATTCCTCCATGGATCAATTACGTAACATGTCAATAAATTTAAATTTCAAAAACTCCAAAACACAAAGATTGTAAGAAACATTGTGTTTATTCGTCTATGGATTCATTTCTAGATCACATTTGGTTTGAAACCATGGAATGATTATTAAATGAAGTTGTGTTTAAATGGCATGCCAATATATATATATTATATATTATATATATATATATATATATATATGTATAATCACTGTGCTTTTATATATGCCTAGAGATGTAACGATGGACTTGCTCTCGACCTAGTTTGATCGAAAAGACAACAATGTCATTTTCCATTTACATCATAGAAAATAGTCCTAAAAGTGTAACAAGTGGTTAGAACAATGTGGCTTTTTAGAACTAAGAAATTTCCATATTTTTTGTGAAAGAGTAAAAGAATAGAAGTAGAATAAAAATTTGTACTTTTCATAAATTGAGCCAAAAATAATGAGATTTGTATGAAGGTAACTAAGCAAATAGTTTTCTAGCAAGCCAAAGATAGTTTATCCGGTAATCGGATTTTTTTGTAAATCAAATAAAATTTAGAACTTTTTCATAAAATGACACACACACACAACACCAAACCACGCACGCATGCACGCACGCACACAACACATACACATATAGGGGAAATGACAAAAATGCCCTACAAAGTTTCTAGGGTTGGTCGATTCAGTCCCTACAATTTTTTTCGGGCTTTATGGGTTCCTAAGCTAGGATACGACCTGCTCTTTTAGTCCCTGTCAACCTGTAATAGTCGGTTCAGTGACCATTTAGACCAAAAAAACTTACATTGTGCCTCTATAAAAGCCAAAAAAAAATTAGTTTGGGGTGAATGTGGGCATGGTGCAAACTGCTAGACTGGAAATCTAACTTGGAGCTGAGTTGTTCAAGAGTGATACGTGGATGTATTAGTGAACCATATATATGTGACATAGAGTTTCCAGTTAATGTTGAGAGATCATTTCTAGACAGAGCACATAAGTTTTCTCTCTCATCCTCTCATCTAAAAAATCTAGCAACCTGTTGTTCATCATTCCTTCCTCTATATTAGATATAAGATTTGTAAACTGTTTTCGTTTTACTTAATTAGATATAGGATTGATTAGGTGAGTGCTGAGTGTAATTTGTAGGGAGAATGTTCTTGTAATTTTTTGGAATCTGGTTCTATGTAAATAAAGGATTGATTCAGTATTTCCTGTGTTCGTAAATATATATTGATACCATACATCCTTATGAATAATGGAGAATGGTGTTGCAGTAAAGTTTTGAGAGTATTTCACCAACCAATATCGAGCAAACAATGCACGTGTTGACACTAACCCTTATGAATATTGATTCCATAGAGGTCTTGGTGTTCCAACCTTTCTAGAATTATTGAAAAATATGTAAGCACAAAGGGCAACATGCGAATAATAAAACCGGTCCAATACACCACACCTTTTTATCTTTTGCCTTTGCGAATTCTTCAACATACTGGGGCTCTAACTCGTCGAAACTATTCACGACAATCCCATATGCAGCGTTTCCAGCTTCTTCTATACGTTGAAACATCTCCATACTTTCTTTTGAGTCTCTTTTTGGCCAATCAGAAGCCTGGGTTGGTAACTTCGATCCGGCCAGGAAGGTCGGGCAGCACAAAGTACTCAGAGTCGGATTTGATTTCATCAAGTATTCTAGTATTCGCTACTATGTGTATGCATAGGTACGTGTAGCATCCTGGTCCGTAGAAAACAAGTAACCTGTTAGCCAGACCTGTCGTCCATGGTAAACCACTATCTGAGATGATGCAACTTGGAGTAGGAGTTAAACGCCGAAGCATGCTTTCAGTTGGTTCTTCTAACATGGAAATGACGTCAAAAAATTTGACCACGAGTGCAGTTGATGGAATCAAGTCAAAACTCTGGCATCCTTCAGGCAATTCAACTTCAGCTAAAGGGAGTTTGAGTTCAAGTACTTGAATCTTGAGGTTAGCTTTGATTGCACGATCATTGACTGATTTAAAACGGTTGGCGTTAAATGGATTTGTGATTATAGTGACAAGAACACCACGTTGGGCTAGCATTCTGGCAATTTCCACCATGGGTATCATATGACCTTGGGCCATTAGAGGGAACAAGATAAAGTGAAGGTCGGAAGAAGGGAAAGCCATTGGAGTACAAGAATGTGGTTTTGGGTGGTTGTTTCTAAAACTACATGAAGGATCTATTCACTTGGCTCAAATAACATGTGAAGTGTTGTAAGTGTTTGCCACGTGTCATAATCTGTGTGATTTGCAAAAACCAAGACCCTTTAAGATTGATGTTATGTTCTAGATTGTAACTTCACGAATTGTTCCCCGAACTTATTTTTTGGCTTTATAAGGGCATAATGTGAGTTTTTTTGGTCTAAAAGGTCACTGAACCGGTTATTACAGGTTGAAAGGGACTAAAGATCAGGTTTTTTGGTCATATCCTAGTTTAGGGACCCATAAAGCCTGACAAAAACTTTAGGGACTCAACGGGTAAACCTTAGAAGTTCGTAGGGCATTTTTGTCATTTTCCCTATATATATATATATATATATATATATATATATATATATATATATATCTAATATATATATATATATAGGTTGGGTTCAACAATCAATTTTAAACCATTGAACCAATGAATAAAAACTTTTAGAGCTTATGTTGTTATGTGTAGGAACACCAAACAACTGAGGGAGGTGATAATGATGACTTGGAATCTACATGTTGGATGTTCGAGTTTATACTTTTAATTTTTAATTAATTTACAATTCTCATATACTTTGAAACATTATTGGTTTGGAACCAAATGTATGTTTCTTGCACAAACTTTGTGGTGTTCGACTATCAACTATGTTGTACATGTCATAAAATTTGCAGCTAGAAACATCAACCCATACTTTTTGGAGAACTATATTTGTTGCTTAATGTGTCGTTATTTGTTTTTCAACCGGTCATCACTATTGTGATTATTACTCCTATTTTATTCTAAATAAAAGGATGAAGAATACCCGGTGTTCTAAAAGGCGCGCCATGGCACGCGCCAAGAATACCCATACATGCTCACACAACACCTGCCCCGAGGTTATCAAGCGATAGGAAAATCCTTAAAAAGAAAGGATTAAACAAGCATTCAAGGTTTTAAACATGGGACCTCACTTTTGGAGTCAACTTCCACGATTTTTACACTAAAGAAGAAAACGAGTCAACATGTGAATTTCTCAACTTCAAATTTAAATACCTTGAAGTCATCTTCACTTTCCCGTTTGTCTTTCAATTTATCTGCAACCTAATAGAAACAAGTAAATATTTAAAAACAGAAAGAAACAAATGTGTGTATATATATATATATATATATATATATATATATATATATATATATATATATATAGAGAGAGAGAGAGAGAGAGAGAGAAAGAGAGAGATATGATTGTTCCATAATCATGTATGAATAATCAAAAGGGAAAAACAATCATATAAGATTTATATATTTGAATATGTTTATTCCATTTTCATTAACTTATATATGATTGTCAAGTAATTATAAGACCATAGGGAGTGGCGTGTGGTAAAATAAGGTGGAGCCTATGTGACATGTTTTACCGCAATGACATCACCCCTAGTATGTGGTTTGCGTTGTGACTTTTTGTCGTGCTCCTCTCTCTCTTAGTCTTCCTCCCTCTTTCTATTTCTCTCTATATCTCTCTTTCCTCTTTTCATGGTATATCATTCCTATTATGGTATTGAAGTGTGAAAAAATGAGGTGGAGTGTGGTAACAATGACAACACAGCCTACAGCCTAATAAAAAATATCTCAAGCTCACTATGTGGTCTCATAAAGTATACATATAATTTAACTTTATCAATACTCTCTAAAATAATAATGTATTAGTATTAGATATATGATTAAATTATATGGCTAGTTCCTTATGACTGGGGATAATTTTGTGTGTTAAATTTTTAATTGTTTTTTTTACTGTCCGTCATATTTGATTTTCTTGCACCAAATAAGAATATTGCATCTGGAGGAGAGAACTTACTTTTGTGGATGACGGTAAAGTGGAACATGTAAATGACGAATTCACCCACTTACCCTTCAATTTTTTTTTTCATTTTATGCCATTTTATTATGATTTTTACATAATGGGCTTTAGAATATTAAAGTTTAATTATTTTTCATATTTAACCCATGCCATCCAATTTTTTAAATAAACCGCATTAGATTTTTTTCGTGGTCTTTATCAAATTTTGAGTCTTCACCCGATCCAATTATATATATATATATATATATATATATATATATATATATATATATTGTATGAACGTAGGTACCAATCAGATTTTAAGAAAAAAAAAATTATTAATAAATAATATAAAGGTATAATGGTAATCTTACTTATAATTACTTATGGTAGAAGAAAATAAATCAATTAAAATCCCTTCAATTAAGGATATCAGTCTCACCTATAACTTGTATCCTCATATTATAACATGTATCCTCATATTATCACAAACTTCACACACATAACACAACACCAAACACTCATTATCTCCATCATCGTCTTCACCCCACAGTCGTCTTCTTCGTCTATTCGTCTTCAGTTTTTGGTTTTGTTTTTGTTTTTGTTTTTGTTTTGTTTTGTTTTTTTTTTTGCGTAGAACGGTAACGGTAGCCATTTCTTATATCATATATCATATCATAATCCCATTATATATGGAAAATCATTATACCCCTCGTGCTATTTTTCCCCGGTGGCATGTGCACGACAATGATTTTGCCATTCATCCAACTGATGTAGGCTCGACCATTACCGGTTGCAGACCCTCTTCCCATCGGTCATACCTTGGTAAGTTTTATACTCAATTACAGATTATCTGCACTCGATTTCTTAATTCAGCTTCATTATACATTCACTCTATTTCTAATTATCTTGATATCTGCACTATATTTCTTTTAAGAATTGTTTTGAATATTTTGGCTATTACTGAATTTTACTTTTGAGAATAAAAATTCTGCATAATCAAATATCAAATTTTAGTCTTGAATATTATTCGAATTTTTAATCAAAATACATGTCTAATATTAAACAAATCGTGAAAACCTAAAAGCTTCTAGTATTAGAAATAATCTAGAATCAAGCATAATACTTTGGTTGGTGATTTGTTGTTTTTTATCTGTGTTCTCTGTATAAAAATATGTGTTCTTGGAAATTTTTTGATTCGACTAGAATCAAGTAGCGGTATTATTTGTTAGGTTTATAAAATTCTGAAAGAGTCGAAGTTGTTGATATAATTCTTGCAGTAGTACTTGCATAATTTTTTATGGTTGTGCTTGTAAATAAATTCTCATTCAACATAGTTATTTGAGTCAATTTCATAACCATTATTTGAAGCAAATAATTAATCTAGTAGAAAATACACAATACACTAAATTGATGTTAATGTATTCACTTTCGGTGAAAATTTAAGTTCCCACAATGATTACAATTGTTTAGAGTTTTTAAAATGCATAAAGAATCATTGACATTCTTAAACCAATTTTTACACAAATAGTTTTGAAGCGTGCCTTATTTACTATATCATCATTTTAAATATAACATAAATACGAAAAACATCAGGTTTTTTTTTACATTATACTTAATACACATATTATTAACCGATAATAGTGTTTCATTTTGATAGAGTTAGTATGCCTGTTGGCTTAAAACTCTTAGCATGTTTCGAATGCTAGATCGGGTTGGTGTTCAGTCAGCAAAGGGAGAGCGACTAAGCACCTTGCTACTAGGACCCTTCAGTCAAGCTTCTCCAGTGAGACCTTTCTTTTAGGCAGGCGATAGCCTGATTCAAAGATTGGTTCCGAATCTTTCTCTTGTTATGTAGCTAATTAGGAGTTATCAAAGGTTGTTAAACTAACTCATTAGCTAGTCCAAGGAATAGAATCAGGACTCTATCGAGGAGGTTTTGGATATTTTTTAGATCTCCCAAAAAAGCTAGTCCTCTGAAACAGAGGGGAGATTTCAGAGATTTTAGATCTCTCATAAAAGCTAGTTGACGGAGACAGAGGATCAAAACGGAGATCTTTCACACAGTTGAAAAATGGTCATATATGGGGCAAATCAATAAAACATGCATAAAGGTTTGGAAACTCTAAAACCTAAAAAATCAATAGAAATATAGAGAAAAAAATACTTTAAGATATCTAATCTTATTTTATTTTATTTTATTTTTTTGACTTTATAGGATTAAAAATCGCAGGTTTTGGCACAAATACGCTAAAAAAAATTGAATTTTTTTTTAATAAAAAAAAGTTATTTAAAAAAAATTCAACGATTTTTTTTTAAAAAAAGTAACGCTTTCTACTTCTGTAAAGTAAAAATAAAAATTAGATATCTGAAAGTACTTTTTTTTATACATTTTGAGGGTTTTTAATTAGGTTTATGCATTTTCTATTGATTTTCCCAATATATATATATATATATATATATATATATATATATATATATATATATATATATATATATATATATATTCAAAATCAAATAAGAAGGAAATTTTTGGTAGAAAGGTAGAAGTTTTTTTTCTATATATTTTTTTCCGCGAACAAAAAAATGAATCATAAAGATGTTTTTTGGGAATTTTTTCTTGTGAATCATCTTACAAATGAATCATCTAGTGATTCATTATTTTGTTCGTCAAAAAAATATGTAGAAAAAAACTTCTTACCTTTCTACCAAAAAAAATTTATTACCGGATCTATATATTATATATATATATATATATATATATATATATATATATATATATATATATATATATATGGTTAGGTGCATGTGAGACGGCTTAATTTTTGTGAGACTATGAGACGCAATCCTAGTCACTCATTTGTAGATTAAAAAAAAACATTTTTAAAATGCAAAATAATTGACAAATTTGTAAATTTTTTTTAAAATATTATTTTTGTCATTTATATATATATATATATATATATATATATATATTATATATATATATATATATATATATGTTTAGGTGCATGTGAGACGACTTAATTTTGTGAACTGTGAAACGCGATCCTAGCCACTCATTTTGTAGATAAAAAAAAAACATTTTTAAAATGTAAAATAAATGAAATTTTTTGAATT